ATATTTTCGAGTTCCATTGCCAAACAACAAGTATGACACTTCTCCAAAAACATACGGTGAGTTTCATCTAAAGGTTTTCTGCAATCATAAGGTCATTTTAGATGGCTCGTTCAATAACAACCACACAATTAACTGAATTCATTCGATTGTTCTAATCCGAGCGAGTGGCAGAAACGTCAACACCATCAAGCACCCTGGAATTAATTGCCATACTGCATGTTTTATTCTAGATACTTTTGGATCATTACTACTCCTTACGAATGGCGTTATATATGTCGTCCACTGAATAATCTAATTTTTAGAAATAATCCAGGCGAGTTCAACTATCTTACTTAATGATTTTTTGTACTGAACATACATATGTTTTCCAGTTGCTTTTGCCATATATTTGTAAGTGTCCCTAGGCTGAATGCAGTAACTTCTTATGGAATGCTTATAACGCGTCATATTCCTGCCTGAAGTTTCATAAGCAGCCTGGTCGTGTTCATTATTTTTTAATTGTCATATACGTCAACGACCTGCTTGTTAACCTGGCCCGTACATACGTTACAGTATATCTTCATGTCTTCTAAATTTAGAAATCATCTGAATCGCCTTTAACGTGTATAAATAAACCCATCATAGTCGTTGTTGCTAATCGTATTTGGGTTTATGGATTGGTTTATCATATTAGCAGCCTAAAATGCGAACATAGTTTAGATAATAAGATTAAAAATTTAGGTACTATCAACTGCACTAGTGAAATAACTAAATCCCCAAGTAGCTGTTGGCTAAACAAACGTTTAAAATCAAAACTCAGTAGCCTACTAGAATGAACACTAAACGAATATTTCTGAATTGAAATTTATAATTAAATTAGGCGTCTCGGATTCTTTAACGTTATAAATTTCTGATGATTTTGAATCACCTAAAGCAACAATACCTATTTTTCCACTGACTAATCCTTAATCAACACTATAACTAGTTAAATTTAATAGTTTCAGGATATCGTCATAAAGCATTGTCATGACAATCACGTAATATGATTGATAAAATTAATGAGACTATTAACAAAATCGGTCAGCAAATTGACTTATAATTATCACTAGTGTTGTTTTTCTTTTATCTTCATTCACTACGGATGATTACAGTATGTTTATCAGTTGCTCATTCAGTAAATATCTCAAAACATTGTCAGTCTAATTGGAGGTTTAGCGACACAATCATGCATGCAAATAATCAGTATAAGCAGTCGAGCGAATCTCCTGCAAACTGAAAACATCAATGTCGAATTTACCCCAACACTGACTATGGTTCAAGGCATTATCATAGACATGAGTTGGGAGTGTACTCCCGTTGGTTACAACTTGTGTTCTTCCTGATAATCACATGAGCATCTCTCACTGTTAATCATCTTGTAATAGCTTATTTAGCCGAATACATCCTGCAGCACCACATCACCTAGTAATATGACACAGGCCTAACTGATTTCAATAACTTATAACCACTATATCTCAATTAAATCGTATTCCACCTTATGACAAACTGCGTACTTGCAACTAACTTGTATGCACCATCAGCCGGTAGGTATAAATAAAAATAAATATCAGAATGGGTTTTGTGGAGAATTTTAGAAATTTCACAGGTTGAAGTCATGAGTCAGTTGAAGCTAGACCACCATTGAAAACCTGGAAGCACTGGACGGCCGTTTCGTCCTGGTATGGGACTCCTCAGCAGTGCGCATCCACGATCCCGCACCACGCGGGGCTCGAACCCAGGACCTACTGGCTTCGCGCGCGAGCAGATCAGAACATTGAGTCTTGAGCATGTCTCTTACGAACACACTCATGTTTAACGATTTTTCCTAGTTATCTGTCCAAAATCCATATAATTACCACTCATGTATTTAAATTTTATTTTGATAACCATTCATGTGTATTAGTAGTATTACTAAATCCTATCACGGTCAAGTAAAAATGAGGTTGAGAAAATCTCCACGTAACTAAATAAACCGTATCAAACTAACTGGAACACTAGTTGGAATTCTTCTCCACGGTATACTTTCGTTCCTTCAGTTAGCCTACTAATACAGATGCAATTGGAATTCAACTCATATGGACAACTTACCGGCATAATAGTTATTTGATTTCATAGTTTAAACCAAAACTAATACCAATATTAACTTTTCTACAATATTCATTACTTTAATATTTCTAAACACAAAATAATTACTGCCTATAAGTCAATTATTAACACGCATCGTTTTATTATTATTATTATTATTATTATTATTATTATTATTATTATTATTGTAATCCCATATTTTATAGTTCAAATAATCTTCAACCAAATTTTCATTTTAAGCGTATGTGTTAATCATGAAAGCAGATATTTTAAGATTATTACATGTATTTCCCGACCAGATGCTGCCGTCTTTTTGATTTATCTTTCAGCTTATCAATACCCGGAGGATCCTTATTATCCTTGGTAACCTCCGGCGCGCGACGATCCCATCCAATTTGGTATCGAACCAACATCACGTTGATTCTGGTGGGAGAGTAGTGTAGTGGCATTGGACAATAGCCACACAATCCACAAAGCTGTGAACACAAAACTACTCAGAAAATAGATATTCAATATTTAACTCGGGGAAATACCTAACAATGGAGAAGGCGCGAACAATGAGTTGAGTGAATTAGAGTTGATCGAACGGCATGGCTCGGCCGTGCAGGCGTGGTCCATGCTGAATGTTATCTTATTTCTTCTATTCATATTAAATATATTGTTCTTTCTCTAGCCTAACCTTGCTCTACATCATGTGTTGTTAATTGGTACGATACAGTGAGTTGGCGTAGTCGATGGTGTGACTTCCACGTAAGATCTTATAGATTAGGCAGTTATATCATGACAAATCTACAAATTTAGGATTAGGTCTATTATTAGAGCAGCACTAATATCATAGTAGACCATAATTCTACAGATACGTTACGTAATAGTTACATAATGACATTTAAATTAACATTGAGTAGTTGGAAGAAAGAGGATTGGTAATATTCAAAGTAATTATTAAGTCAAGAAGTTGCTACGTTTCGTAATATATGAAAAGAGAAGGAACAGAATTTTATAATGGATGGTCAATAGAATAGTACTTACGTAAGAATCAAGAGATGAATATTGAGAAGTTGTAAAGTTCAAAAGCAACAGAAACAAAATTACAAAAAAAAACAAATTGGAAGGAGTATGAAAAATAGTTCTTTTGAAGGAAATCTTATACTGATGGCCGGGGCAGAGAAAGTGGTTGTACGAATCTCTTTTGAATGCAAAGGTCAGGTTTGTGAACATGGATTGCGATGGCTTCCACAATGTGCAAGAGGCGCACTCGCAAACCATGTGGCATATTTGATGGGATATTTTAGATAACCTTAAAGGCTTTATTCACTTCAACTTGATGACCTGTGTCAACCAAGTGAGAGAGAGAATAGAACGTTTAATCACTTTTACCCGTCCCCTGCCTAACCATGACGGATGATGTTCTGTAATACGATGACGGACTTGCAGAATTGTACGCCCTATATAATTGTCTCCACAGGAGCAGTTGAAACGACAGATACACGTAGATTATTGGCTGATCTTATTTCGGTCTGGTTGTAGAAGATGGCGTTTAATTTGGCAGCATTAAATGTTTTTTGTACGGCTCTTCTTAGTTTATGAGTCAAGATTTCTTCAATCGTGTCATTTATGAATTGTAGTTTTATGAATATTACCTTCCTAGGGACGGTGGGTATCTTTGTCCTTGTTTTCTTCTCCATCATATGTTTGTCGATTAATTTCATGGGATACCCATTCATACTGAGTAGGTTCCGAATATTATTCAATTCTTCTTCAGTGGTGTCTTCAGAGCAAATCATTCTGGTTCGATGAGTCAAGATCTTTATCAAGTTCCTTTTGTATCTTATTGGAACTGCACTATGGAAATGAGTGTATAGTCCTGATGTAGAATTTCTGTGTACCTTTCTTTTTAAAGTTCCGTCTGCTCTTCTTGTTAGTTAGACATCTAGAAATGATAAGGTATCATTCTGTTTATCTTCTGATGTAAATTTAATTGATGGATGAATGTTATTAAATATATTAAGAAAATTGTCCTTATCATATTCTTTTTCTAATACTATGAAGGCATCGTCTATATGGTGATAATAAGTTGGTAAATGGCTAATTCTGCTTTTAAGTCGACTGTTTCCCAGTTTTGCAATGAAAATATCAGCCAGTAGAGGGCCCAATGGTGATCCCATGGCAACTCCATCTAGTTCTCTATAGTATTCATTGTCAAATCTAAATTGGACATTCACTGTAAATCTAAGAATTAACCGTTCTATCGCGGATGCTGGAATCTGGGTTTCTATGCGCCTCTCTGTTAGTTCATTGCAAATAAAATCAACCGTTTCAAGTAGTGGAATGTTAGTGAATAAAGATGATACATCGAGGGATAACACGAAATTATTCTTGGTTGATAGATTTTTTATATTCTCAACAAATTCAGAGGAATCCTTGACACTATGCTTGACAATTTCTTTGTGTAATGGTTTAAGAATTTTCACCAACCATTTTGCTGTAGTATGATACGCTGAGTTATTCATATCCAAAACTGATCGAAGGGGCAAGCCACTACTAATAAAATCAAACTTTGTTCATAACGAGTCATTCCTGTCTCAAATGCTTTTCCGGACCCCCAAGTGAAAACTGATAAAAGAGATTTTAACAACCATGCCCACTCTGAAGACTGACTCCCGGAAAACCGTCCAACCAAATCCAATGACAGAATTATGTTTTGCACTTTTTGTCTCGTGTGCTAAATGTCTCTCAATTTATTCATTATTGTTATTATACGACCATTTTGAATGTGCAGAACCAACACTTTTTTTATTCCTGACTGACGAATAAAGGATTTTAAATGCCTAAATATGGGCATTATAGAACATTGAACGAAATACGATAGAAACGACTCGGCAACAAAAACAAAAGTTATGGACTCAACTCTTGATAGTCTTCTAGGACCATCAGAAGTTGGTAGAACCGCTGAAGATCCGAAATCTACAGCAATTATTTACTTGGAAAAAAATGGAATTTTGAGGCTTATGCAAGTATAATTTATCTAACAAATTTACAGATAACCAAGAAACTTGTTTACGAAATAGCTTTATTTCAGCCAGACGACCCTATTCAATACATGATAGACCATGTAGAAAATATTAGGGATCACATAGACTGCTAGAAAACATACACTCTTTCGTCCACCACTGGGCTTTGAGTATTGACATACAAACATTCAAGCCGTTTTGCTCTGTGGTAAGCAGTTCATCATATAGCTATCAAAATACCTCTTAAACTAGAAGTTTATGGACGTAAAAGTACCTCGTATCTTGAGTTTTTATGAGCAAACTACAAGCAAATTATTCAGATAATTTGAATATGAAATTCTATTTTCCGTATATAAACATATATATCCTGAATACCTCCTCATTTTATTTGGTCAAAGAACCTTTATCCGTAGATTAATTAGAATTTACTCAGCTAACCAGTTCTTCGTGCCAAAGACGTAGAGCAATGTACCTCATGTTATGTAATATAGAAATTATTTATCTGTGTGTGTCTCACTTACTGTTCTGTGAAATATGAATAAAAGTGGGACTTAGTAGCCCACCGATTATTCTTATTTACCAAATGGCGAAATGGGAATTTTCACCGATTATTGTTTGTAAAATGAAACATCACACCCAAGCAAAAACTGTGTGTACTTAAGCAGAAGTCATCGATACCATACTTTATGGTTGATCTCGGGCAAAACTTCGGCTAATTAGAAAGCAGGTAGTAGAAGTGAATAATTTATGACGTAAAACCCGAATAATTAAAATGCATGTATATATAGACTCTGTCTACACGGTTGACAAACTAATAATTTTAACAATCTTTCAAAGGTACATATGAACTCTAACTTGAATTTGTGCTATACAAATCTTTACGACCTTTGTAAGACAGAATATGGTCGTTTAATTGTGATGGTATTGCCTCAACATTAAAGATTTAGACACTAGTTATTAAGCCGATGAAATAACGTCTACGAACGATCATTGTAAGCTTTACAATCTCTAATCTTCGTGTAGATTCTAGTCCATGACTGCATAAACCGTATATAAATAGGTAGTTCTTCAGTATTAAGCAGATTTTAATGCATGGGTGCTTTAAAGTGACGCACAAAACATCCTTGATTATTTCCTAAATCACATTAAATACGCTCTAGTCACTGCTGTTTGCGATACAATATTCGTCAGCTCCACGTGCTTTCCATGGCTTACTTACCGCACTACGTCGTACTTACTTGGTACTTGCAAAAACAAAGTGCTAATCGACTTCAAGCGTATTAATAACAAAATACAAACACTGTTGACTTATCTTGTAATACAGTACAAACTATCCTTCATTACATTTGGAGTTTCCTGCAAAAATCTATTGTTCATTATTTTTAATCTGATTGTTTAGCCCATAACTTATAGGGTCACCGAAAAAGTTATTCATAAATAATGACATTTATCTCAAAGTATGTTCAAGAAGCTGTTGCACAGTAATAATATAATTTTAACAAGTCGAGATGAATAATGTCTGTAAACTGGGTTCCATTCAGCGTCCTTAGGATCCAAAGTAATCATATAACCTGTAAACAGTTTATGTGAAGAGACTGCTGTCATTCACTGATAGCTTCAATCTCTCACCACTCGAAGGTGTCGGTGTACCATAACTTTGAGAGTCATATGTTCAAAATGTAGACTAGGAACAACTAATAGTTACACTACGTACTGGCAAAGATGTCAACATTTTATTCTGTGTCTTCTCATTGCATGTTAATGCATGTATTGAGAACAGAGCCTACTGACGCCACTTGAAGACGAACTATGATGAACAATTTTTGAGAATCATGGTGATTCAGTACCAACAATTTTTGGTGACTAGTGGAGGTGAAACAACTTCATAACTTTTCGATTTGGAAGGAAAGTCCTTCATAGGAATGATAAATTTAAAATCTGAGATGCAGGGAAAAGTTAAGATGAAATAAATCATAAGGAATACAATTAACCACTGATAATTGTTTCCAACACAAAATTATGATAGGAGTATCGAATATATTTGAAACTTTAAGCAGATATTCAATGTTTTACTAAAAGTTTCATCTCACTGTAATATAACTAACCGGTTAGTCAACATGAAAGTTTAAATACTTCAAACTCGTGAATATTCTTACAAAGAGTCCATAGTTAGTGCATTTGTTGAGAAGTAAATAGTACACAGATTTCTGTACAAAATTAAATGAATAAAAAATCAAACACTTTAACAAATTTTAAAGGATTAACGTATAAATGAGGGTTAAGTTAAGGATCTGTAAACTGGGGGAAGGTTTTCTCTGGCGGTCGAATCGCAAACATATGAGAAACTACTGACATTCTTTCTTGTTCGAAGGATACCACTAAAGCATGAAGATCTTGGTAGAACAGTTGATCCAAACCATAAATCATTCCCATTAGGGACTCTAATTTCAAATATCGAAATCGGCTCTAAGAAAAAGCAAAGGCAAATGAAATCGAGAAGCAAAAACGTTAAAACAACAAGTAAATAGGAATTCAAGATATCGCAGACATAGGGTCTCAATGAGAATATTGGTTTTCAGTAATTAAGATCATAAGACAGAGCTACTAATTTAAATATTAACCAAAGAATACCCCTAAATCACCATCCGAGTCTTATTAAGAATTAGTAAGAAGCATGCTAATCATCTTAAGTAAAGTTTACTTTTGATTATACAGACAATATTAGTGTAATAGAATCGGGAGAAAGTCACATGTATCGAGTGTTCTAGCCGCCAACCAGAGTAGAAAAAATACACTTTTCTAGCTAATCACATATAACTGGTTATCTGTCCGAAGTTAATAAGTCTACACCATATAAATCATAGCAGATACAGACCAAAGACAATGACGTTCGTTAATTGCTCTTGATACTGAAATTTATTGCTTAACACTCACAATTCTTACCAACACATACTGTAATCACGTTTAAAAAACAAGTATCAGTCTACAAAATGTATTTCAAATAAATCCCTATGCGTCTTAGCAACACTTCGGGATTGTGTAAATCAGAGTAGGGTGGCCAGAAATTTAGCATCCTATCAATTATAGTGCTTATTATAAAGAAATAAACAGGTTTTATTAGTTGGTATGTTACGACAAAAAGATGCAAGAACATTCAAATGAATCCAGGTGATGAAAAAAGTATCTATAAGCAGTATTTTCTACTGAGGAAAAAATGGGTCGATATTATTCCACGAGATAGCACTTTATATTAGATTATATTGTGTAGTAACTTGAATAAGAGGTTATACAGTGGTCTTGAGTAATGTTAGAGGTGTGAGTGGTTATCACTTCCGGGTCGCCCACACCGTGGAGGGGTTCTTTTAGACCTTACCTTATGCCTGTTACTCCTAATGGAGCATAGGCCACCGACCAGCATTCTCCAACCCACTTTGTCCTGGGCCTTCTTTTCCAGTTCCATCCAATTCTTGTTCATTTTTCTCATGTCTATCTCCATTTCCCGGCGTAATGTGTTCTTTAGTCTTCCTCTTTTCCCTTGGCCTTGAGGATTCCATATGGGGCCTTGTCCCATGACGCAGTTGGGTGCTTTCCTCAATGTGTGTCCTATCCACTTCCAGCGCTTCTTCCTGATTTCTTCCTCCACTGGGATCTGATTTGTTCTCTCCAACAGTACGTTGTTGCTAATAGTGTCCGGCCAATGGATCTGAAGTATTTTGCGTAGACAATTGTTAATAAACACCTGTATTTTCTGGATGATGGCTTTCGTAGTTCTCCAGGCTTCTGCGCCATATAGTAGAACTGTCTTGACATTTGTATTGAAAATCCTGACCTTGGTGTTGGTTGACAGTTGCTTTGAGTTCCAGATGTTCCTCAGTTGTAAATATGCTGCTCTTGCTTTGCCGATCCGCACCTTCATATCTGCATCAGATCCACCCTGTTCATCAATGATGCTGCCCAAATGTGTAAAGGTTTTTACAGCTTCCAAATCTTCTCCGTCAATTGTGACTGGATTGGTGCATGCTGTGTTGTATCGGAGAATCTTGCTTTTCGTTTTGTGTTTGTTGAGACCTACTGCTGCTGAGGATGCTGCTACATTGGCCGTTTTCTCCTGCATCTGTTGTTGCGTTTGGGATAGAAGGGCCAAATCATCTGTGAAGTATAGATCGTCCAACTAGATCCTAGATGTCCAATGTATCCTGTGCTTCCCTTCAGATGTTGATGTCTTCATAATCCAGTCGATCACCAGGAGAAAGAGAAAGGGTGAGAGTAGGTAACTTTGCCTAACACCGCTATTTACCTCGAACGAGTCTGTCAGTTGTCCTCCATGCACGATTTTGCAGTTAAATCCATCATAGTAATTCCGTATGATATGGACTATCTTCTCAGGTACACCGTAGTGTCGAAGAAGCTTCTATAGTGTTGTCCTGTTCACTCTGTCAAATGCTTTCTCGTAGTCAATGAAGTTTATGTAGAGTGATGAATTCCATTCAATTGATTGTTTCACAATGATCCATATTGTTGCGATCTAGTCTGTACATAATCGATCCTTACGGAATCCAGCCTGTTGGTCTCGAAGTTGGGCATCTACGGAGTCCTTCATCCTGTTTAACAATACCTTGTTGAAGACTTGTCCTGATATTGTTACTTTTTACTTGTTCCTCATCCCAAATCTTATTGAAGAGAATATGGAGTATCTTCACAGTTACTTCTACGTCTGCTTTCAGTGCCTCTGCTAGAGTGTTGTCTGGTCCTGCTGCTTTGTCACTCTTGATTTGTCTGATGGCCATGCTGATTTCTTCAATTATTGGTAGGCCAACATCGATTGGGTGGTCGTCTGTGGATTCTGCTTCGATGTTGGGTGGGTTCAGTGGAGCTGGTCGATTCAAGAGTTCTTTGGAGTGTTCTACCCACCTGTTTTGTTGCTCTTCAGTGTTGGTGATTACCTCGCCTTCCTTGCTTTTCACTGGTCGTTCTGGTTTGCGGCGATTTCCAGAGAGTTCCTTTGTCGTGTCATACAATTGTCTCATGTTTCCTTCTCTTGCAGCCTTTTCCGCCGTCGTTGCTAAATCTTCCACATATTTACGTTTGTCGGTTCTGATACTCCTCTTCACTTGTTTGTTTACTTCTGTGTATTCAGCTTGTGTCTTGGCTTTTTCTGCTCTTTTTCGACTGGTATTGATTGCTGCCTTCTTGTTCCTCCTTTCTTGAATCTTATCCAGTGTATCAACAGTGATCCATTCCTTGTGATGGTGCTTCTTGTGACCCAGGACCTCATGACATGTTGAAGTGATTGCCTCTTTGATCCCCTTCTAGTTGCTCTCCAT